ACCTGCTCCCACACTAGTTCCTGGGAATATCAGTTTGGCCCAGTGCAACACACAGCTTGGCCTACCCATTGGCTGCCCTTTCATCACAAGGCCCACTGGGCCAATCGGCTCTGCCCAATGGGGATCCATCACATAATTCCCACATGGCCACGAAGCAGTTTCACTTGCAGAGGATTGCAGGTCAGGCCAGGTCCGTGACTGAAGGTCCTGGTTCAGGTGCAGTGGAGAATGATATGTGGGGGCAAACCTGGCTCCAACTTTGGCCCCTCAAGAACTGCAGAGAGCTTGGATCTTGCAGCACAGGAGATCCATTGTCTGGAATTAGCAACTGGAGCTCACATTACTCATAAGATCTGATTCCCCAATATGACACTGTTATTTGTAAAATTAAAATATGTCTAAATCAAACCTTTTACTAATTTTTTCATGGATAAATTGCCCATTTTCTTAGCAGGTATCAGGATTGGGCAACAAGTAGCAAAAGTGCTATGTCCTTTCCAGCCCATTCTCCCATGGACAGACCCCTCTGTCTGTGCCTCTGGTGTGGGGGAAAGGAGGCAGCTCCTGTGACTACTGTGTATGCAGAACCAGTTCTGTCGTTTTTTTCTTCTTTTTCTGCAGTTCTGGGGGTTGAACCCAGGGCCTTTCACATGCTAAGCAAGCACTCTGCTACTGAGTGAAGACACAGTCCTCTCTCCTTCTGGGTGCTGTATCCATACCTTACATGAAAGCTTCACTCAGTGCAAGATGCCATCTTCCAAATCAGCATTGAGCAACTGGAAATCCAATCAGAGGCTGGCCACCCCATGTGCATTGAGGTGCCAGTCCCAAAGGCACAGGCTCCAAAGGCCTGCCTCATGTTGTGTCACCTCAGAGCTGGGCAGAGTCTCTACAATATTCTAGCCAATTCACATCTCATAACTAGTAGTAATTTCACCTGGGACAGGGAGGTGATTTCCAACCTCCAACTGTGCTGTGTATCCAGTCCTTAACTTTTCCAAGGAAAGTCCATCTCCAACATTCAACTTACTAACTAGAAAAACATCTGGTGAACAGATGTTGTTAGCGTCTGGATAATAAATGCTCCCACCCCAAAGCTCCTTTGTCAATGCAGGAAGATTAGATGATGAGATCGTGAAAGCTGTCACTTCTTCCCACCATACCATATGAGCAGATCCACTGTGTTGTAGCCGTAGGCAGGAGGGGTGAGGCTGGAGAGGGTGGGTCACTGGAGTCCTGTGCTGGAAGGCTTCTTCTTCCCTGTGGCCCGTCCTTCCTCTCTCTCTCTCCTCCTGG